CAACCGTGGTCGACTACATGGGAGTCCTGCTACGTAGCCATTATGGCATCTGCTGGTCCTTTTTTATGTTTTTTTTTTTTTTTTTTAATCTTAGATGTATGTACTTGTTGGAGAGAGACAAAGAGAACAGAGAGGGAGAATGAAAAATCAACCCCTAGGGGGAGATGGCCAGCCACAATCCCTTCTCCATTTTCTTCCTGGGATTTTGGGCATAGAAGCACAGGTATCTGGTGTGAATTTCAAACTGTCAGGTGCAGTACTCAAACTGCAGTTGGTCACGTGGGAGTCCAGTGGCTTAACCAGCATACCACCTACTGGCCTGGTAAACCCTGTCTTGAGGCAGCATTTCAGCAGAGTCTAAATGACAACGTGATGATCGTGGGAAGAAGCTGGTGAGTGGGAGGGGAAGCATGTGGGGTTTTAGAAGAAGTAAGGCAGTTCCTTAGGCTGGCCCCTCATGGTTCCTTAGGCAAGTAGCCGGCCTGTGGCCGGGGAAGGGAGGGAGAGTGTAGGTAGGTATGACCAGATAGTGTAGACCTGTTTGAGTGCAGTGAGGAGTTATGTTTGGAGTCATGTCTGGGCCTTGAACTGTGGTCAGCTGTGTGGGAGTGTCCAGGTCCTTAACCACCATGCCACCTGCTGGTCCCTAAGTTAATCAATTTTACTTCTTTTATGAGAGAGACATTTTATTTATTATTTTTACTATTATTTTTTAAATAATTATTTTATTTAACGTTGTTTATTAATTTATTTTTTAATTTGACCAGAGAGGGACAGAGTGAGAGAGAGGGAAAGTGAGAAAGCAAGCTGCCAGATCTGGGATTCAAATCTCTGTCGGCCATGTGGGAGTCCAGCGCCTTTAATTACCACGCCACCTGCCAGCCCCTTATTACTACTGTTTTTAAGTTTGTTGTAGGGCACATGGGCTCATGAGCGAGAGAGAGAACACAAGCCTCCTGGTCCCAGTTCGGACCATGGTCAGCCACGTGGGAGTCCAGCGCCTTAACCACCTGTTTGCCCCAGTCACTCTCTCTGTGTATACACATATGCATGTGCACATGGGAGGATTTCAAAAAGTTCATGGAGAAATGGAATTAAAGTATGAGTTTATTTCGGTGCAAACAATTTAGAAATCCATGTTTCTTCATAAAATGCACTTTCCTTGAACTTCCTGAAGACCCTTGTCCACGTACGTGCATATGAACACCCTTCATTTACCATCCACCCTCACTGTTCCCGTTCCTAATGGCCCTGACTTGATGAAACCCTCTCATGCCTGTGTGCTTCACTTCCCCCAGGTTTTCTCCCTTCCTTCCTTTTCCTTCTTTATCTCTTCTTTTCCCCATTCCTTTTTTCTTAATGTGACTGACACAAGTAATACTGGGACGTATTTGCCGTGTGTCTCCCCTCTCCTGTTTTACCTCCTCTCCCTTCACCTCGCCCAGTCTACTTCTCAGAAAAACTACCATTCCCTTGTTGTGGTGAAGCTTCCTGTTCCCCTTCTGCTCTGTTTTGCCTGCATGATCAAGTGCACAGGGATCTGTTTTGTGTTTTAATGGAAATAACAATATTGCTTTTCCTCTTTTATATAAAATAATTTTTTGTTGTTGTTGGAGTGGTTTTTGCTATAGGGCATGTGTGCTCACCAGAAAGACAGAGACAGAAAGTGAGAAATCACCCCCCAGGGGGATGGTCACGCCGCAATCCCTTCTTCTCCATTCTCCTCTCGGGATCTTGGGCACGCACACACACGTGCCCGGCGTGAGTTTAAGCCACCGGGTCCAGGACTTGAACCGTGGTCGACTACATGGGAGTTCAGCGACATAGCCATTACGCCAGCTGCTGGTCCCTATATAAAATAATCTTAAATTATCCTTCTTTTAGAAAATGTGATTGTAAGTAGCAAAGCCCGAGCCCATTTGCCATTGTGTCCCTCCTCTTCTCTCCAGAGATAACCAAGTAGTCATTAATTTGGAGATTTCCATCCAGACCTTTTCCACAGAAAACAGAACCTATTGTGTTTCCCCCCCTTATCTATAAACAGTGTGCTTCGTAATTTGCCTTTATTTTAGATTTCATTATGGTGGTACAAATAGCTTGGGCATATTTCTTCTTGATTTTTGATTTTTGAGATTTTCTTACCAGGGGGCATGTGTTCATGGGAGAGAGAGAGGAAAAATGAGAAATCACCTCGCATGCTGCAACTCAGCCTTTTCCATCATTCTTCTCTTGGAATTTTGGGCACGCATGCACACACACCTGGTGTTTTTTCCAGGCTGCCTGATGTGGGACTTGAATGGTGGAGTAGGCCCTCTAGTATCCAGTGCCTTAACCACCATGCTACCTACTGTCCCCCATGAAATACTCCTTTTTACTAACGCCACATTTATCCTATAGTACAAGTGGGCCATGTTTCATTGAGCCCATTCTGTACTGAAGGAGAGTTAAATCTTTATGGCCGATCTCTATTGCTGTGGGAAGCCCACCATCTGGTAACACCAGACCTCTCTACTTTTCCTACTCCCAGATATGACTTCCAGCCTTTTATCTGCTAAAATTCATCTATTTTTATTTTTGTAAATAAGTATTTTATTTAACTTTATTTGTTTATTTTAATTTGACCAGAGAGGGACAGAGCGAGAGAGAGAGAGAGAGTGTGAGAGGGAAAGTGAGAAAGCAAGCCACCAGGTTCAAGACTTGAACCGCAGTCAAACTATTACAAACCTTGGGACCAGCAGTTAGCGTAATGGCTGTGTTGCTGGACTTCCATGTAGTCAACTGCAGCTCGCGTCCTGGACCCGGTGGCTTAAAACTCACGCCGGGCGCGTGTGCGTGCGTGCCCAAGATCCTGAGAGGAGAATGGAGAAGGGATTGCGGCATGGCCATCCCCCCTGGGGGGTGATTTCTCGCTTTCTATCTCTCTGTCTCTGTCTGTCTGTCTGGCAAGCACACGCGCCCTATAGCAAAAACCTCTTAAAAAAATAAATAAAAGGAAAAAAAAACTATTACAAACCTTAAAACGGTGAACTTCTCTATAATAAATATGAATACTTTCTGTTTTATTAATATAAATGTATTTTTTTTTGCCACAGGGCACATGCAACATGCACTGGCCAGAGAGACAGTGAAAGAGAAAGTGAGAAATCACCCTCCAGAGGGTTGACCACACTGTAGTCCCTTCTCTGTTCTCCTTTGGTTTGGGGCATGCACACACACATGCCTAGAGTGATCTTTAGGCCACTAGATCTGGGACTCGAATAATCAGCCATGTGGGAGTTCAGCATTGTAACCACTACGCCAACTGCAAGGCTCCACTTCATTATTTTTTTTTTTTTGGAGTGGGTTTTTTTTTTTTTTTTTTTTTTTGCTATAGGGCACGTGCGCTTGCCAGAAAGACAGAGAGAGACAGAGAGACAGAAAGTGACAGAGAGACAGAAATCTCCCCCTGGGGGGATGGCTGCAATCCCTTCTCCATTCTCCTCTAGGGATCTTGGGCACGCACGCACACACACCCGGCATGAGTTTAAGCCACTGCGTCCAGGACTCGAACTGCGGTCAACTACATGGGAGTTCAGCAACATAGCCATTATGTTAACTGTTGGTCCCCACTTCATTAATTTTATAGACTTTTTATTTTATTTATTTATTTTGAGAGGTTTTTGCTACAGGGGGTGTGCACTCACCAGAAAGACAGAGAGACAGAAAGTGAGAAATCACCCCCCACCCAGGGGAATGGTCACGCAGCAATCCCTTCTCCTCCATTCTCCTCTCGGGATCTTGGGCACGTGCGCACACGCGCCTGGCGTGAGTTTTAAGCCACCGGGTCTGGGACGCGAACCGCTGTTGAGTTGAGTACGTGGGAGTCCAGCGACATAGCCATTACACCACCTGCTGGTTCCCAGAGGGGATACTTTTAATGTTTCATATAAAATATATATATTTTTTATGTTTAGGGAGAAAAATCCTTTCTTTTTCCTTTATTTTATTTTATGTTTTTCAGAGAAGTTTTTGCTTAGGGTGCATGTGCTTGCCAGAAAGACAGAGAGAGACAAAGTGAGAAATCACCCCCCGGGGGGATGGCCATGCCGCAATCCCTTCTCCTCCATTCTCCTCTCGGGATCCTGGGCACGCACACACACGCGCCTGGCGTGAGTTTAAGCCACTGGGCCCGGGACTCTAACTGCGACTGACTACATGGGAGTCCAGCGACATTGCCATTGCGATATCTGCTTGTCCCAATCCTTTCTTTTTTTATAAGAATTATTTCATTTATTTAAATTTGACCAGAGAAGGACAGAGTGAAAGGGTGAGGGTGGGAAAGCAAGCCTCCAGGTCCAGGACTCAGACTGTGTTAAGCCATGTGAGAGTCCAACGCTCTTAACCACCACGCCACCTGCTGGCCCCCAAAAATCCTTTCATCTTTTTTTTTTTATAAGAATTATTTGATTTAATTTAATCTGCTTATTTTAATTTTACCAGAGAGGGACAGAGTGAGAAAGAATGAGAGAGACAGAAAGTGAGAAAGCAAGCCACCAGGTCTAGGACTCAAACCATGGTAATCCACGTGGGAGTCCAGCACCCTTAACCACCGTGCCACCTGCAGGCCCCAAATCCTTTCTTATCTCAAGGAAATTTCTTTTACTTTTGGTTTGATCTGAAAATTTTTTATTTATGCTTGGTGGAATTACTTAATTTTTGTTCTGTTGCTGTTGGCTCCTGCCACATGACTAGCTCCTTCATCTTCCTTTGGTAAGGCAATAAACCTGCAACATTGGGCTGAAAAGGGACAAGGAGGTTAGGGCGGGAGACTTTGTATACCTACACAAGTAGCCACTCATGTATATATTTCTCCTTCCCAATTTATAAATGAGGCACAGAAAAATAAGGGCTGTACATATGATTATCTAAAAGAAGCAGAAGCTTTATAACAACCAATATCAAAACATTTAATGCTAGTGATTCTAGATTCTTTAAAAACAAGGCCAAAAAATGCTTATTTTAAAAATATGGAATGCTTCATGAATTTGCGTGTCATCCTTATGCTGCGGCCATGCTAATCTTCTCAGTATTGTTCCAGTTTTAGTATACGTGCTGCCGAAGCTAGCACAGTTTGCTATGAATTCTGATTTACACTTTATTTTTGCTGTAGGGCACATGTGCTTACCAGAGGGAGAGAGAAAGTGAGAAATCACCCTATAGGGGATGGCCTCACCGTTGTCCCTTCTATTCCATTCTCCTCTTGGAATTTTGGGGAGGTGTGCGCCACACAAACAAGCTTGGTGTGATTTCCACGCTGCTGAGTCCAGTATTCAAACTGCACAGTTGGCCATGTGGGATCCAGTGCCTTAACCTCTATGCCACCTGCTGATCCATGAATTCTGATTTTTCAAAGTGTTGACTCTTTTTTTTTGTTGTTTTCAAATTTTATTTTAGAGTTTTGCTTTAGGGCGTGTGCGCTTACCAGAGAGACAAAGCGAGAAATCATCCCCCAGCCAGACAATCCCATCTCTCCATTCTCTTGGGATTTGGGGCACACACGCACCTGGTGTGAGTTTTAAAGTGATGAGTCTGGGACTCGAATTGTGGCTGACCATCTGGGAGTCCAGCATCGTAACCATTATGCCATCTGGTGCTTCCCAAAGTGCTTACTCTTATCCCATTCGTTTTATTACAGCTGTTGAGATGTTTGACTATTCTCCATTTGCTAATGTGACTTCTTGCATCGATTAGGTTATGGTATTTTATTTAACTTCTTTTTGTTTATTTTTGAGAAATTTTTGCTGTAAGGCACGTGGGCTCACTAGAGACACAGAGAAGGCCAAAAGTGAGAAATCATCCCCTAAGGAGGATGGCCACACTGCGGTCTGTCCTCCTCCATTCTCTTCTCGGGATTTTTGGCATGTATGCACACATACCTGGTGTGATTTTCAAGCTGCCGGGTCCAGAACTCAAACCATAGTCAGTCATGTAATAGTCCAGAGCATCTTAACCCCTACACCCCTTGCTGGTCCCTTGCTGAAATGTCTTTTGTGTATCTTCTAATTTTATAAATACATTTTTTTCTTTTTCTTTCTTTTTTTTGGGGGGGAGAAGTTTTTTACTGTGAGTTTAAAGAGGCTGGGTCCAGGACTCAAACCATGGTTGATTATATGGAAGTCCAGCCATATAACCATTATGTCACCTGCTGATCCCTGCACTTTTTTTTTTTTTTTTTTAAAGTTTTTTGCCATCAGGCATGTGTGAGGGAAAGTCAGAAACCACCCTTCAGAGGGAATGGCCATGCCATAGTCCCACCTTCTCCATTCTCTAGGATTTGGGGCGTGCATGCACATGTGCCTGTTGAGATTTTCATGCCCCTAGTCAGGAACTTGAGCTGCAGTTGGTCTTTTGGTAGTCCAGTGCCTTAACCACTGTGTCACCTGCTGGCCCCCTTCTTTAATTCTTTTAATGAACTCTTATCATAGTTTGCAGTGTATATAGGTACATAGTTATGTTGTGTATATAGGTACAGAATTAATTTTATTTTACTAATATTTTTGTCTTAACTATTTCAAACCGTTTTAATAATAGACAAGATAAGACCACATGTGTGCTGTGTTGTCTGGTTCTGTCTGTACTGTCATGCAGCCTTGATAATGAGGCATACAGGTGTCCTGAGCCTCAGCCCTACTTCAGGCGAGCTAGAATAGAAGGCTTGTCTTCTGTGGATGGTGATAGAAGTTCTGTTTTAATCTAGCATGAGACAGGACTAGCAGATGGCGTAATGGTTATGCTGTTGGACTCCCACATAGTCTACAGCAGTTCAAGTCCTGGACCTGGCAAAATTAAAACTCAGGCTAGGCACATGTGCGTGTGTGCCCAAAGTCCTAAAGTGGAGAATGGAAAAGAAGAGATTGTAGCGTGGCCATTCCCCCTCTATCCCCGGGGATGATTCTTGCTTTATCACCGTCTCTCTCTCTGCCTCTCTGGCAAGTGTACATGAACTTAAATAAAAGCCCCAAAACAAGGGGACCAGCGGATGGCATGGTGTTTAAAGCACTGGATACTCCCACATGGCTGACCACAGTTCGAGTTCCAGACCTGATGGCTTTCCTCCTCACCTTTCCTCTCTGTCTCTCGCTGGTCAAATTAAAAATAAGTGAATGAATAAATTTAAATAAATAATTCTTTAAAACAAAACAAAACAAAAACTGTACCATAAGAGTAGGTTTCATAGTGCAGCAGTTATGTGCTACACAGAGGAGCTGGGTCCTGAGTAGGGTTTGAGTCAGGGCCCTGGTGGCCTGAAGAAACATGCTGGTAAGATAGAGAATTGGAGGGAAAAGGATTGCTAGCATGACCAGGTCCTGTTGAGAGGAGTGCTCTCTCTCCCTCTCTCCCTCTCTCCCTCTCTTTCTCTCCATGTTTGTCAGTCTGTCTCTCAGGCAGGTGCACACATCCTTTGACATTAAAATAGTATGGAACTGTTACCTTTTGGGGGGAGGGTACTACAGTTTATTTATTTATTGAGTACTTCGTCAGTTTATTTATAACTATTGACTAATCTGGTTTTCCTAGTTCATTCTGGACCAATTTTGCTTATTTTTATTTTCTTAGAAAATTTTCTATTTTTAGTTTTCAAATTAACTTGAACAAATTTGTAAATACAGTCAGTTCTGTGGTATTTGCATTGAAAACATGAATTTATTTCAGCATGGTTTCTATATTAGGGAACAATGAGCTTTTTGTCTGATTTCAGAGAACCCTCTTTCCATCACTTTAGAGTAACTTACAAGCTGCAGCCTTCTGACACCTAGACTTCGGGTCATTTTCAAGGTAAAGTGCTTATTTATTGAAGTGTTTCTGTATTTCTTAACCGTTTAGCATGTTTAAAACTGCTACTGTTTTTTATTAAGTTTCAGATTTTTGGTCCTTTTTTAAAAATATTTGCTGGAGGGCACTGCACTCACTGGAGAGACTGAAAGGGGGGGGAAATTGAGAAAGCACTCCCCCTCCCAGAGGGAATGGTTATAATCCCTTCTCTGTTCTCTTCTTGAGATTTTTCATATGCATGCACACATGCCTGGTATGTTTTTCAGGCTGCCAGGTCTGGGACTTGAACCACACATTTGGCCATGTGGAATCCAGCTGCCTTAACCACACACCACTGGCTGGTCCCAGATTTTCTTTTCTTTTGGAGAGGTTTTTTTTTGTTGTTGTTATTTTTTTTGCTATAGGACGCGTGCGCTTGCCAGACAGAGAGAGACAGAGAGACAGACAGCGAGAAATCACCCCCCAGGGGGGATGGTCACGCTGCAATCCCTTCTCTCCTATTCTCCTCTCGGGATCTTGGGCACGCATGCACACACGCCTGGCGTGAGTTTTAAGCCACTGGTTCTGGGACGCGAACCGCGGTCGCCTACACGGAAGTCCAGCGACATAGCCATTACGCTAACTGCTGGTCCCCAGATTTTCTTTTCTATGTGTGTTACTGACAAAGGTATTACACTCCCAACCCCATTTCCCCCATAAATTCAGTGAGTTTCTTGTGTGTGACTTTGTATAGTGTGATTTTTTTTTTTTGGTAATGTACAAGGGTGTCTTTACAAAGTTTGTGGAAAATGCTTATAATGAAAACTATGCATGGATTTCAATTTTTTTTTTTTAATTTTGTGTATTTTTTTAATACTAGAGATGTGGACCTGCCAGAGAGAGAAATTAGAGTGGAGAGAGAGAAAGTGCCCCTAACAGGACCTGGTCATGCTATAATCCCCTTTCTTTCTTTCTTTCTTTCTTTTTTTCCTAGAGAGTTTTGTTTTGTTTTCGCCATGGGGCATGTGCACTTGCCAGAGAGAGACAGAGAGAGAGAGACAGTAAGAGGAAAAGTGAGACAGAAAGTGAGAAATCACCCCCTAGGGGGATGGACATGCCACAATCCCTTCTCCTCCATTGTCCTCTTGGGGTCTTGGGCACACATTCATATATGCTCAGTGTGAGTTTAAGCAACCAGGTCCTCAAACCATAGTCGACTACATGGGAGTCCAGCGACGTAGCCGTTATGCCATGTGCTGGTCCTTGCAATCCCCTTTCCTCCTTTCCTTCTTCCCTTGAGGATGTTGGGCAAACATTCACATATACCCGGTCTGCCTTTCAGGCCATTGGGCTGGGATTCAAACTGGTGGGTCTCTCCACACAGCGTTTAACTGGTGGGTTAAGGGGCTAGCCCTCAAAATTTTTGCATTGAAATAAATTTGTACTAACTTGTTATACATGTCTGAACAGGATCTAGTTTGAGCTACTTACTAAGAAGAAATAGTCTGAAAAGAGCCCTTATCAGAACAGCATGGATTCTGCTAAAATTGAAGCAAGAACACACATCAAATTTATGGTGAAACTTGGGTGGAAAGATGGTGATATGATTGATGCTTTATGAAAAGTTTATGGCAACGATACCCCCAAAGAAACCAGTTTACAAATGGATAATTTGTCTTAAGAAGGGAAAAAGTGATATTGAAGATGATGCCTATGGTGGCAGAATATCCACACCAAATTGCAAAGAAAAAAAACTAATCCTGTTTGTGGCCTAATTGAAGAGGACCAATGATTAGCAGCAGAAATAATAGCCAACACCGTAGACATCTTAATTGATTCAGCTTACACAGTTCTCACAGAAGAATTAAAGTTGAGCAACTTTTCTGCTTTGTGGGTGCCAAGACTGCTGTACCCTAATCTGCTGCTGACAGAACATAGCTTTCAGTGGAAATTATAAACAAATGAGATTATATTTCTGATGTATTTCTTTGAAGAAACATAATAGAAGCTCACACATGGCCTTACCTGCATGAGCCTGAAGACAAAGCACAATCAAAGCAATGTCTGCCTCGATATGGAAATGGTTCAGTTGGAGCCGAAGGGGACCCATCAAGAGCAAAGGTCATGGCAATAGTAGTTTGCAATGCTTGAGGCAGTTTGCTTGTTGACTTTCTGTAGGGCCAAGGACAGCATCTGCTTATTAGGAAAGTGTTCTGAGAAAGGTAGCCGAAGCATTAGTGGAGACACTCTCAGGAAGGCTTCACTGGGGGGTTC